AAAGCAGACTTCTCGGGAACTCTCCGCAGCGCTGGGGATCAGCGCCGCGCGATTATAAGTGTTTAATCTGCCCGCCTTTGGAGATCCAGGGTTCGTTTAGTTAGTTTTTTTTTGTTTTTTTTGTGTGTTTAGATAGCGGGAGACCTCGCTGTCATGAGCCGGGGTGAGTACTCTTTCTCTTAACCATCTGTGTTGCATTCTGCATGTCTTGGGTTAGGGACCTTCCTCCAAACATGACACTCGTTTTTTTTTAAATAAATGTTGGCCCTTTTGGAGCTCCTCCATTTATTCTCTTGAGGGGGGGGGGGGGGGGGGGGGGGTGGTGTTACGTGCCATGTCCCTTTTCGGCCACAAGATGGCCTCATTGGCTTCTGCCTCGCCCGTCACCTGGTGCTCAGCTGGAACAAATCCTGGCTGATCACTTACCAGCTGTTAAAAGCTGCTTTCAGTCCTCAGTTCTAGGAGAAGGTACAGGGTAGTCTTCTGGAGTTTAAGCTATTCTCTTCTCCTCGTTTGCTCTCTTGGTAAAATTTGTAATAGTCCTCGGTGCTCTCGGTTTTTGGAATTTGGAATTTGGATTTGGATTTAGGATTTGACTATTCGGTAACTTGACGTCGGACCGGCTTTAGATTTTGACTTTGAATCACCCTCGCTCTTTTTAGCCTCGGTTGTTTATTTCCATCTCCTTTTGGGTTGGTGTTTTCCGTTCTTGCCTTCGTTTTGTAGATACACTCCTTTGTGTTTTGTATATAGATATTTCTTTTAAGGTTGTAAATATTCATTTTGTAATAAATTCCTTGTTTTTTGCGACACTGCACTTTGTTTATTGTTTATCCCACACGCTAATTTTATTACTCCCCTCCTCATCTCTCCTAGAGAGCCGGGGACGTAATATTAGGTTATAATTTCTATGTCGTCTACATAGCATTTCCATAATTAGATTTAGCAGTTTGGGGGGGGGGGGGGGGGGGGCAGTGGCTTTCTGTTCTAGATCTTCCATGAAGAACTCCCAAAGGGTGGCTGATAGTGGGTTTCCCATGGCAAAGCCTTGTTTCTTTGTACATGGTCCTTTGTAAGTGAAGCAAGTGGAGTTAGCTACCAGTTCACCTAACGTAGTTTAGCTTAGAGAGAGGGAGAGAGACCCGTCATCCGGTTCTGGAGCTCATGCAGACTTCTGTGAGCTGGATCCGACCCAGACACCAGCGAGCCAGTCCAGCTGGGATTTTTAAAAGCTGTGCATGATCCTCACCTGTTGGCCTGCGGCGGTTCTAATCTGGTTCCGACCCAGACACCAGGTCCACTGGGCCGCTGAGTTCTTTGTTGCTTGAGCGCTGTATTTTTCTTTGAAACCCTTTTGTGTGTCCATAGTGTGTTTTTGTCTGTAATGCATTTTTTAGTTCTTTTCTTACACAGAAATGATTTATTTACCTGACATGTTTCAGCTAGTAGTTCTAGCCATCCTCAGAGATTGCCGATGTTGGTGGCGTCACTTCCAATTATCTGCTGAGGGTGTTTGCAGATAAACGGAAGTGACGCCACCAACATTGGCGATTGCTCTGACGAAGGCAGCAGTAGATGTCAAAACATGTCAGCAAAGGTAAAAACAAGCTGTATTTGCTGTGCATAATGAAGAACCACAAAACATTAAATTGGATATAAAACACAGAACATACCTAACAAAGATCCACATTAAGTTCTTAACAGTTTTTATATCTGCTGCCAATCAGTACATTGATTCATGAATGATGCATTCATTAAACAACTGAGTCTATTGATTGAATTTATTGGTGGGTTAGGCTTCAATGATAATCAATTCATTAATCTGTGGATATATTTTTAACATAATTTTTTCTGTCTCTTTGCAGCACAACACTCAACAGCTGCTGACCCAGTGTCCTGCACAGTGATTGGCTGGGATAGAGTGCCTGGAAAATGATCATATTGAGAAGAATAATATTTAATTAGATTGTTTATATTTTTAAATAAAACCTAATGATGTGATTGCAGTGGGTTTCATTTATACAAGTGTTAGGTAAATTGTTTTTGTGTCCTCCAATTAAACCATTCTAGAGCCTATGAGCAATCCAATCCGAGTTTGATTCTGGAGTTTGAAAGATACTCTCCATGTAAAAAGTCTGAGACATGACAAAAACCTGTTGACTAGCACTTAGATGACTGCATCATCTTTTCTCTGAAAACATGTCAGGTACACAGAACCCCCCACCCCATGCCCACACCTTGGTCAAGGATGAGGTAGAAACCATCATCCTATATGACTACTAAACATGCAACTCTAATCCAAATGTTGATGCTAGAACAAGTGTCAACCCCTCCTGCTGGTTCCAAAACGCAACATGGTGGCATCTTTCAATGGGATCTTGTGGCTTCACCTTATACTAGGGTTGCTCCGATCAGGTTTTTTGCTGCCGATCATCAATGTCTCACCCCGGGTTTCCACGGGAGCCGTCAGCAGCACGTTACTGCAGCAGCACGTCTTGCTTGCGTAAGCTGCTGCTTGGCCTTTCCCACGAGACGCGAAGCAGCAGGGGAGCAGCTGTCACCGACCGAGCACGAAGTCACACGAGTGACTTCGTCAGTAAACACAACAACAAGCAGGAGAAAACTACAGCATGGTTTGTGTTTTACGTCCTGTCTGTTTTATAATCGCCAATACGGACCTGAAAAACAAAGGAGACCGCTAGCTAGGTGATAACTTCTCACGGGGCCGCACAGTTAGTAACCTTTTTTAAAAGTAAAGCAACCGGAAGGCAGTACGTTCTTTATTCTGAAAATCTCGGGAGCTTCTCTCCATTTCCGCGTCCGATTTCCTGTCTTTCCTTCCCCAAAAATGTCGAACTTGACCCGTTTCAGAGGCGTCGCGCGTAGAAAATAGAACCGGCGCGTAAAGGCCGCGACATGCTGCTCCTGAGACGCGGCCGACTCGCGCTGCTGACGGCTCCAGTGGAAAAGGTTCTGTTGACCACAGCGGTTCCTATCAGCAGCTATGACGTGCTGCTGCAGTAACGTGCTGCTGACGGCTCCGGTGGAAAGCCGGGGTTAGAGTGCTGATCATCGATACCGATCACATGGGTTGGCCATAAATGTTCTATAAAGTTATGAGTGCTACAAGCTACATGATCTGGGAATAAAGTAACAATAACTTCACCTTAAACGGCCTGTATTGATTTAGAAAAAATGCTTTTATTTTTGTAAAGAGAGAAAAAAAAAGACTTGCAGCACAATCAGTGTGTTTGTTTTGGACCACAACTTCTAAGCCTTCTGCTCACAAGCCAGGGTTTAGAGCTGAAAAATGTCTCTAGGATGAGAGGAAATAACCAGAAAAGTCCAGATGTTTTCAATAAAATCTGTTCAGATGATCATGTCCAGGATGACTGAGAATCTACACCCACCTGCTGAAGTGAAAAGGAAAATGGAGACACTTAAATGTAGCTGCTCTCAGTAACAATCCAACAGATTTAAAAAGCTCTAAACACTCAAAATAGTGCAGGAAAGGTCAGCGGCCATTGTGCTAGAGAAAGCCACTCTGTTCTGTAGATAAATGAAGAAGTTGTAAGGCGTGGGTTACTGCTGACAGCAGTCTGAATAAAAGACCCTAAACAAGTAACCCGAGAGAGTAACCTTACATTAATACATTCATTTATTTATTATTGGTAGTGGACGCTAGCAGGCTGATCATGGTGTCGTCCTCCACAGAAAGGCATCCAGCATGATGACTTTAGGTCAGGGTTTCTCAACGGGGGCTGTAGCGCCCCCTAGTGGGCATTCAGACTATATAAGGGGGCGGTGAAAGTTTTTTGCCACTGAAGGGGGCGCTGAGATGCTAATGGTGGACGCTAGCGATACAGGACATTCATAACAGACAATGGCTCAGAATAAAAAGAAGTGCTGACAGTACAATGTGGACTACCTTCAGTACGGATTTATTCCTTCACCCACGAATCCACAACTCCCCATGTGCCTGCTTTGTGAACAAGTTTTTTGAAACAAAGCAATGAAACCCTCCCGGCTTAAGGAGCACTTGTCCAAAATGCATCCAGACAAAGCTTCAAAGGAACTGAACTATTTTCAGGTAATTAAAGAGAGACACTCTAAGAGAGATAGCATTAGCAGTATGTTTGCTCGAAGCTCAAATTTACTGGACTGAGGATTATAGCTTCCTAAGATGTCTTGTTGCTAATAGCTAAAAACACTTTTTTATGATACTTTTTTAATGACATATTTGTATGAAACTGTTTCAACTCAAGGCTGAATTGTTTATTTTTATTTTTTAATTATTATTTTTGTATCAAAAAACTTTCCGTTTCTCTGCGTGGGACATTGGTGGGCAGTAAGGGATTTCAGCATGACTTGGGGGGCGTTTAGCTGAAAAAGGTTGAGAAACCCTGCTTTAGGTACTTTTCAGGTTAGTTGGTCTGCTTTCTGACGGCCTCGCTCATGCAGACGAATGTTGGTTAGGGTACTGCTCCGACTGTCTTTTTTTAATTTCTGCAGGTTAGTAACAAAAACGTCCCTCTCTCCAAGCAGAGTTTGTTCTCTCATAGTTCTATTAAATCCACTGTGTTGACGTGTTTTAAGGGTCTTCCCCCGCATGCTTACATAACTCACAGAGTAAAACACTTTAGCCGCTGCGCGCATGCAGGCGAGGGCGACGGGATGCTGCAGCTACACACAGATTCTCTGTCGGCTGCAGTGACGTACGATCGGCTCTAAAAGGAGTAGATCGGAAATCGGCCGATTTTGATCGGTGGCCGATCAATCGGAACATCCCTACCTTTTACCAAAAAAAAGTAGATGAAATCACCTAGGCTAACTTTGAAAAGATCCTTGATTTGTGGAATTCTGACAACTTTGACGCTTAGGTGTGGAAACAGACCAGGTTGGGTTTGGTTTGTTACATCATTGGGACAGATTTTCAAGTATTTCAATGTCTTCATATGTTTTATGTGAAGTCCATGAAGAAAGAATTTTTTACAAAAGCAGCCTGTTACCAGTGATTCTCTGGTGCCACTAGTTTAGGTAATGTGACCCTGGAATAGTAAATTTTATCTTTTTAATTTTCAACCTTTTTTATTAGTTGTGGTTTTTTAATCCAGTTTTTATGTTTCATTGTCTCTCATCCCGTTTTCCCTGATCTGCTACAGTTCAGTCAAGTGTCTCCCTATTCGGATTCCTCCTGTCTAAGTTTCTTAAGTTTGGTCTGGTTTGTATAATCTTTCTCTGTTCTGTCTGATTCCTGCTTGTCCTCCTCAGCTTGGTTTGTCTCATTTCATTCCTGGTTCGTCTGAGCTGGTTTAGTCTGTATCATCTCCCAGATCCAAATAAAGAAAGGTTTCTTTTAAAACATCTATCATTAATCTTGAATAGCATCAATAAAAACAAAAGTGTGGAATTTGTATAAAACCTGGACATGATTCTGACCGTTGAGCAGGTTTCACTGCCCAAAGTGGTTCAAACAAATGTAAATATTTCTACAGATCTAAACTGATTTGGTTATCTGAGGGGTGTAAGAAGGTATGAATAGCCCTCAGACATTCTAATGTAAACAGAAAACTTAAGATTTGTGTACAAACAAATAATACGATAAACTATGCATGTGTCAAATAGCTGACTGTGTTTTTGACTTCCTTTATAGTAAAAGCAGATACAACAAAAGCAGCAATAAAGACAAAACATACATATAAAAAGTTCAGATTTGAATTCTGAGTCCTTTCTTCAGAGGGTTGATTAGTGGCTCAGGTGATAAGGTGTTACGTGGGATAAAGTCTCTCAGGTGATGGTTAATAATCTTGTGGACTTTAGCCTGAAACTCTAAAGAACAAACTGTGTTTGTCTTTAGTCTTTAGACTTCACTCGTCAACTGAGTCAGAGCTGCAGCTGAAATGGAAGATGACTCTGAGGTAAGATTATTGCCTTTTTGCACAATAGGCCCCTCTGACCACCACCAACATACGCTGGATAGGTGAAGTGTCTTTCCCAAAGACGCAACAGCAGAATTTCCTGGAGGGAGCTGGAATCGATCCTGCAACCCCCTCCAGTTGCTAACAACCTGTTCTACCTCCTGATCTGCTGCTGCTTTTTTCTACCTAAGGAAATTACATTAAGCAAGCATGTAGCAACAGTGTAGAGCAGGGGTGTCAAACATGAGGCCCGCGGGCCGGATCCGGCCCGCAAAAAGGTTAAATCCGGCCCGCGAGATGGTTGTATAAACTTTATTTTCGTACTTTACAATGTAGAGTGAAAATAAACTTATATTTGTGAGCAAGTTTTCTCTGTAATGAGTCTAAATAAAACAAAGCTGCGCTCAAGGCTCACACAAGAACTTGAATCACATCCTGAAGTTGGCCGCCACTCAGGATGTGACTTCTGATGTTGATGTGCTGGTGAAAGCTAAAAGATGTAAAGTAAAATGAGTCAAATATACTTTAAGTGCTGCATGAAACTGATCTAGCCATGTGATCTGTAAGCTCTTGGAATCACTAAGGAATGTTTTTTTTATTTGTTGATTTTTTTTTTTTTCAAATTTTCAAGTACACTTCAGGTGTTGTACTTGTACTACACTGTCCTCAGGCTCTAGCCTTGTTTTATATTGATTGTATTAAAACAAAGAAAACAATCTGAAGTTTTTTTTTAATTTACCGGTCCGGCCCACTTGGGACTAGATTTCCCTCAATGTGGCCCCTGAGCTAAAATGAGTTTGACACCCCTGATGTAGAGGAAAGCTCCCCTTTAACAGGAAGAAACCTCCAACAGAACCTGGCTCAGTATCAGCACCCGTCTGCCATGAGATGACAGGAGGTTGAGAAGATAGAGCAGATGAACAAAAACATCAACAGATGAACTAGTAGTAGCACACTGTAGTTTAAAGAAAGTAATAAGTTAATTTCTGGAGAGGGAGAATGTCTAGTGGTTAGCAGCAGTGTGCCAGCCGAGGCCGGTGTTCCGACTGTCCGTGCTACTCGTCATGATACTTTGGGGAAATGCGCAGACCGACTACTACGTCACAGGCAGTGTTGTGCCCGAACGCGTTCATTCAACGATCTTTCGTGAAATCGTTCGTTTTGTGAATGCGACCTGAACTCATTCGTATTTTGCCTGACGAACGTAAAAGTGAGTGCGTTCGTCGTGGCGTGTGTGAACGAGTTTATGAACGTGTTCTTTTGCCGTTCTAGCTCCAGATCTCCACGGAGCTTTTCCGGAGCTAAAGCCTAGCTAAAACATCCTGTTAACCATAGAGTTTATAAAAAGTAGAACCCGCAAATGCGGCCAAACATAGGCAGCAGCGGTTGGTGCATCGTCTACTTTTCTACTTCTATGCTGTGTGCAGGAGTCAAAGTTCACTCAGAAAAATTGAAAAAGGACTTAACTGAAAGATTATAAATTTTTTAATATTTTGCGCTTTTAATATTGCACTTTGAGTTTGCTACCTCAGCCTGCTTCCTAAGATTGTTTAATATTTTCCCATTAAAAACTGTTCAAATAATGTTTTCCTCATGTTATTGAGAATATACTGTAGGGTAAAAACTGCACCTGGGCATGAGTGTGGACTGAACGAGTGCCAGCTAATGGAAATTTTTTTCGTAAGTTTTATATGTATATATATATATATATATATATATATATATATATATATATATATATATATATACACACATATATATATATATATATATATATATATATATATACACACATATATATATATATATATATATATACACACATATATATATATATATATATATATATATATATATATATATACACACACACATATATATATATATATATATATATATATATATATATATATATAGAGAGAGAGAGAGAGAGAGAGAGAGAGAGAGAGGGGGAACTACAAACTAATTTGTTTTTGGAACAGCAAAGTTAGTTAAAAAAATTTTTAATTATGAACTAAGAAACTAGTTCAAAGTACAGTTCATACATTTTAAAACGAATTAGTTTGTTTTAAAATGTATGGTCACAGGCTGTTTACCTGAAGAGATGCGCTACCTGTGGAAATTGTTATATTACTGCTTATTGTATGTTTATCTGACAGTTAGCTTGTAAAATAACGTTATTATGCTGTAAACAATACATTTCTACCATTGTTTACCGTCATTCACAGAATCATGACGAACACGATCTTTCGCATAAATAAATCACGACAAACACTGTATATTTTTGCTATTAATTCTATATTTTTGAGTTATATCACCTATGTAAAATAAACCGTGTTTAATAAGCGTGTTACTATATTGTAAACAAGTGCAAAACTGTCGTAGCACACTGCGGTAGAAATATTTGACGAGTAAGCACGGATAGTCAGAACATCAGTTCTACGGTGGGGCGGGGGGGGCATTGCCCTCCAAACCTCTCACTAAATTTGTCATCGCTAATTTTCTGGCCTGTTTGCTTATTTCAGTTCAGTAATCATAATGTTACATTTGCTGTCAACAAAACTGAATGAAAAGTCATTTATTAAATTTTATTTTCAACATTAACAAAATGACAAAAAATGCTGGGAAATCCGTTAATCCAGTAAAGTTTATTTGTTATTATAAACGTCACTGACGAACTATTTGGTTCAGCTAACTTTTGAGTGGAGAAAAGCTAGCAAGCCTTTCAGTTCCACACAAATACTGCAGTTGCATCTTCAGCGGTACTGGTCTGTCTGACCCAGTCGAACCAGAACCAGTAAACTCTGAAACTTCTCCAAAAAATAAAATCTCTGAGAAATTTCCTTCGAGAACGACAAGACATGGGAGCTGGATTTCCCCTCTACCATCAACAAGTTTGCTGTGCTGAGTTAAAATCTAATTTGGAGAGTTCAGTTTCTCTGCTGGTCAGAGTGTGTGTGTGTGTATGTGTGTGTGTGTGTGTGTGTGTGTGTGTGTGTGTGTGTGTGTGTGTGTGTGTGTGTGTGTGTGTGTGTGTGTGTGTGTGTGTGTGTGTGTGTGTGTGTGTGTGCGTGTGTGTGGGATGGGGGGGTGTAACTGTCATAATTATTTTTTATATTTGTGTGTGTGTGTGCGCATGCACGCCTGCGTTAATGTACGTGGGAATCTTCTATGTTCGCTCTTCTGTCAGGCTGGGTTGATCATTTACTGATGAGTATGTGAACGAGGAACCACAGATGGATGGATCTATGACCTGCAGACAGAGACTAATTTTAGTAAATCATCCCTGTGATGATTCTGGAAAAAAGTTGTGTAGACACACACACACACACACACACACACACACACACACACACACACACACACACACACACACACACACACGGACGTACGCACGCATGCACACACACGCACGCACGCACGTACGCACGCACGCATGCACACACACACACACACACGCGCACACACACACACACACACACACACACACACACACACACACACACACACACACACACACACACACACACACGGACGTACGCACGCATGCACACGCACGCATGCACACACACGCATGCACACACACGCACGCACGTACGCACGCACGCATGCACACACACACACACACACACACACACACACACACACACACACACACACACACACACACACACACACACACACACGCACACACACAGCTCTGTGCAAACATTTTAGGCAGGTGTGAAGAAGGCTGTAAAGAAAGAATACTTTCTAGGCATGCTCAGTATTGGCATTTTTACAGATATCCGACACAGTGGAATGCGAAAATTTGGGCATCCTTGTTAAGCTTCATGATTTGCCTGTATTAATAATTTTTTTGTTATGATAAAACAATTTAGTTATATATACCTTATTGGATACTGTAAAAGGGTAAATGTTGTGCTTTTAAGCTTAACATGTTACCTTTACTTATGACCAATAAGCTGTGATATTCTATATAAATGTAGAATATCAACCTGCTTGGTCTTTGGATTTTTAATCAGAAGATTCTAGGATTCTTTGCTTTTTCAGGGATCAAACACACACTTCATCTCCATTCAGACAGAGTAAGGTTCATAAAAGATAAATTTATTTTCTAAAGCAATTAAAAACAAGACAAGTTAAATAGGACGACTGTGATGGATGAATCTAAGTGGATGTGATGTTATATATGGTGATTTAATGGTGTGTGGAAATCAGAACCTTGTCTCTAGACGAACTGAGTTCTGGGTGTTCAAAGAATTTGGTTCTTATCAAAATGGCATCAGACGCAATCTGGCTGTGTTCTATGCAGCGTGGTTAATCTACACACTAGGATTTAACACTGTTTGCTTCACTTTGGTTAGATCCTGAGAAAAGATCAGACGTTAGCATGTGAACTTATATTATGCACAAATATCTAGGATATTAATGCAATCGATAGAAGTTCATACACTAACTGTCTTGGTCTATATTTGAATCCAAAGATTAATGTTTAATTTAAGATAATTAAATTTAATAGCAAAAGTTTATTTATTGAATCAGAAGTTAGGAACCTTTGCTTATTCAATAACCAAAATATACACTGTTCTGCGTTTCATTTCAACGAAGAGTCAGGTTTTTAAAAGTTAAGAATTTATTACTAACACTTTCAAAAATGACAATTTGAAATTACAATTTGTAACTGACAATTTGAAACAGCTTGATATTAAAACTTGTAATTAAACAAACCTGTGTCTGGATGGAAAACTAAGGTGGAATGCGAGGTTTGAAATGTGTGAATGAATCTCAGAAGGTTTCTTTCACAGAGAGAAGCGCGTTCTGGATGGAAAACGTTGTTTTGCAGCTAACTCAGTTGTTTCTAGAGAGAACAGCATCAGACACCATCTGTGTGCTACCTCACCCAGCAGACGACCCTCTGTGTGGATCCGGAGGTCAAAGGAGGACGTTGTCAGCCTCAGGGTACTCGGTCCGGTAGAGAAGACCCGAGTGGAACCGAC